GACACGAAAAGTACAAAGGACCTGAGTTAGGAACTTGCTAAGAGGAACAGCCAAGAGACTTGTGTGGCTGGAGCAGAGTAAATGGGGAGAAGGAACAGGCAGAACTCCCACACAAAAGAAAATGCCAAAGCTTTGTGTAATGCCACATGTCTATTATTGTTGTTGTTGTTTGGTGTCATCGAGTCCGTACCGACCCATAGCAACTTTATGCTCAGCAGAACGAAACACCGCTCAATCCTGGGCCAACCTCACTATTATTGCCACGCTTGAGTCCATCGATGCTGCCACTTGGCCAATCCATCTTGTTGGGGGTCTTCCTCTTTTTCTCTGACCCTTCACCTTACCAAACATGATCTCCTTCTCCAGCGACTGTTCCCTCCTGACAATATGTCCAAAGTATGAGAGACGAAGTTTGGCCATCTTGGCCTCTAAGGAGCACTCTGGTTGCACTTCTTACAAAACGGATCTGTTGGGTTTTTTTTGGCAGTCCATGGCACTTTCAATATTCTCCTTCAACACCATAACTCAAAAGCATCAGTTTTTCTACGGTCGTCCTTATTCACCGTCCTACTTTCGCATGCATATGAAGTAATTGAAAATACCATGACTTGGGTTCAGGCACACCTTAGTCCTCAAGCTGACATCTTTGCTCTTCAACACTTTAAAAAGATCTTGTGCAGCAGATTTGCCTAATGCAATATGTCATTTGATCTCTTGACTGTTGCTTCCATGAATGTTGATAGTTGATCCAAGAAGAATGAAGTCCTTGACAACTTCAATCTTTTCTCCATTGATAAGAATGTTGTTTATTGGTCCAGTGGTGAGGATTTTTGTTTTCTTGACATTGAGATGTAATCTATACCAAAGGCTGTGCTCTTTGATCTTCATCAGTAAACGTTTTAAGTCCTCTTCACATTCAGCAAGCAAGGTTGTATCATCTGCATATCTCAAGTTGTTAATGAATCTTCCTCCAATCCTGATGCCATGTTTTTCTTCATAGAACCCAGCTTCTTGGATTATTTGCTCAGCATACAAACTGAATAAGTATGTCTAGTTAATATTAAAAGCAAGATACTTTCCACATGCCTAGCAATGTGCTCAGTTCTACTAACACAAAGATTGCTACAGACAGGCTCTCTTAGAGTCTAATGGGGAGACGAAAGGACTCCACAGGGCCATGTAACAAGCACTATGTCCAGATGCTATGAAATTACATCTAACCTAGACAAGGAATTGTTTTAGTTGTCGAGGTGCTGCTATGACAGAAATACCACAAGTGGGTAACTTTAATAAACAAATTAATTTTCTAATAGTGTAGGAGGCTAGAAGTCTAAATTCAGGGTGCTAAGTTTAGGGTAAGACTTTCTCTGTGTTGGCTCTTGAAGAAGGTGCTTGGCTCTTCATCTTATTTCTGGATCCCTTTGTTGTTGTTGTTGTTGTTGTTAAGTGCCATTGAGTCAGTTCTGACTCATAGCAACCCTGTATAAGATTTCCAAGGAGTGGCTAGTGACTTTGAACGGCTGACCTTATGGTTCAAACCAACCTTATGGTTGAGTGCTTATCCTACAGTGCCACACCAGGAATCCTTCCTGGTCTCTTGGAGATTTCCAGGTCTCCACAGGACTTGGCATCTCTCTTTCCCCATCTCTACTTGCTAACTTGTGTTTCATTTCTTTCATATCTCAAAGGAAATTGACTCAAAATATACCCTACACCAATCCTGCCTGACTCATTAACATAACAAGGGCAGCTCATTCCCAAATGGGATTATAACCAGAGGTATATTGTTGCTAGTCGTCCTGGTGTGGCACTGTGGGTTAATGTGCTGGACTGTAAAGTCAGTTTGAATGGCAAGGTCGGTGGTTCAAGCTCACCTGCTGGCTCCTCAGAAACAACATGTTGTAGGTAAGTGTCTTTGAGTCCGTTCCTACTCTTAGCCAACCCTGTACATTGTTGTTGTTGTTGTTGTTAGGTGTCATCAGGTCACTTCCAACTCATAGCAACCTTATGCACAACAGAATAAAACACTGCCCAGTCCTGCGCCATCCTCACAATTGTAGTTACACTTGAGCCCACTGCTGCTGCCACTGTGCCAATCCATCACCTTGGGGGTCTTCCTGTTTTTCATCAACTCTCCACTTTACCAAGGTCCATCCTGATAATCCACCTGAAGTATGAGAGATGAAGTCTCACCATCTTGAGTTCTAAGGAGGCAGTCTGACTATACTTCTTCCAACACAGATTTGTTCATTCTTCTGATGGTCCATGATACTTTTAATATTCTTTTCTAACACCATAATTCAAATGCATTCATTCTTCTACAGTCTTCCTGTGCAGGGTTTCACAGGAGCAGCTGGTGGGTTTGAATTGCTGACCTTGCTGTTAGTAGTCCAATGCTATTCTACAGCACCACACCAGGACTCTGTATGTTGTTGTTGTTAAGTGCCATCAAGTCAATTCTGACTCACAGCAACCCTGTATAGGGTTTCCAAGGAATGGCTGGTGGGTTTGAACTGCTGACTTTATTGTTAGTAGTTCAGTGCTTATCTTACAGCACCACAGCAGGACTCAAGACTCTGCATAAAGGTTAGGATTTACAACACATATTTTTGAGGGACACAGTTCAGTCCCTAATACAGCCCAAGGAGTCTTCCTAGAGAAGGTGCCATTTGAGCTGTCAAATAGGAGAAGGGAAACACATCCTGAACTCAGTTGCATAAGGGATTGGGCAGGACAGAACTGAGAACAACTAGGCAGAAACCAGCCTATGAGATGAAGAGCTGGGGAGAAGAAGACAGAGGGGACAGGAGATGTGAATGGGTGGACAGGGTGTAGACTGTGTACATGAGGTGGAGAGAAAGTAAATCAAGGAAATGGGCTGAGAAGGGAGGAAGACAGAGAAGACAGAGAGGGAGGTGAGTTTATGGGAACAAGAGAGCCACGTGGACAGGGAGACCCAGGCTTAACTGTGGGTGAGTTGGTAGTTATGGAGTGAGAGGACAAGGATGAGTAGAGGTAGAATAAGGACTTTGATAATTTACCTACCCACCAAAGGCCCCTCCTTTTGGTCAGTCTTCATTGTTGTTAGGTGCCCTCGAGTTAGCTCTGACTCACAGGGACCCTATGTACAACATAGTGAAACCCTGCCCTACCATTTAAGCCTATTGATGCAGCCTCTGTGTCAACATAAGCAAGAGAAAGGGGTGAGAAAAGAATGCTTAAGGAACACTCACTTTCTAAGTTGGGGAAGAGTGGCCATTCTTAGCTGCGATGGGGATATATGGAGCTCAAATAGGTCAGTTGAAAGTAAGATGAACTACTAAGTGTGATGTTGTTGTTAGGTACTGTTGAGTTGGTTCCAACACACAGTGACCTGGTCAAAAACAGAACAAAACACTGCTCAGTCCTACACCATCCTCAGAATCATTCCTTTGGTTGAGCCCATTGTTGTAGCCACTGTGTCAGACCATCTCGTTGAGCTTTCTACTTACTAAGCATGATGTCTTTCTCATGGAACTGGTTCCTTCTGATAACATGTCCAAAGTATGTGAGATGAAGTCACACCATTCTTACTTCTAAGGAGCATTGTGACTATACGCCTTCCAAAACAGATTTATTCTTTCTCCTGGCAGCCCGTGGAATATTCAATATTCTTCACCAACACCGTAATTCAAATGCATCAATTCTTCTTTGATCTTCCTTATTCATTGTCCAGCTCTTGCATGCATATGAGGAAACTGAAAATGCCATAGCTTGGGTCCAATGCACATTAGTTCTCTAGGTGACATCTGAGATGACAGGAAAGTAGAGGTATCTAGCCACTCCTACCTGCACCAGATCTTGGTTTCTCATTTCATCTAGAAGGTCCAGATCCTTTTTTTAGGCAGATATCTGAGTCCTGACCTCCAGACCCTTGGAGCTGTCTGAGTCACCCTGGTAAGAGAGTCCCCAGTTAACAAAAATAACAGTAACTCACAAGCTTTGTGATCTTCAAACTACTTTCACCACCATAAGCAGAGTATCTAATAATCAGTCTAGAATGGACACGGTCCTGCTATTATCCTCCTTTTCATGAGAGGCTGCTGCAGTTCAGAGAGGTTAAGGGTCTTAGGAAGGTCACATGCCCTAGTGGGTGACCAAGTTGGGACTTGAGCCAAGTTCTTGAGATTGCAAACCCCACAGTGACACTGCAATTGTTGCTGAGTCCGGTGATTGCTGAGTGCCAAGGACAAGGGGAAGGGGTGAAACAGACATAGCAAAGGGAAAGGAGGAGAAGACAGGCAGAGAAGGCAGAGTAGGGGGTGGAGAGTCTTTGAGTTGGCACTAGAGGAGTCTCCAAAAAGATCTGATCAAATGTCCCAACACTTTGAAAGGATTGAAGCAACAGAAGCTCATTCTACCATGCGAGACACAATCAGGAGTGAGTTTATTGTTCCCAGTTCGCAGGTGAGAAAACTGAGGCAATGAGCTGTGCCTACACAGCTTAACCAAAGGCCCCATAGGAAGTTAGGACCCAGGAGCCTTGCTTGAAGTTGGACAGGATCGACTGTCGTCAGGGCCTTCCACTATTCAGTGGATGATGAAATAAAGATGAGAGAAGAGGTAGTAGAAACACAAACCAGCCGCATCCAAAGAGGAAGGAGGAAAAAAACTTCAGCGGCAGTCTGTCAGTGGCAGAGATGATGGAGAGATAAGGCCCTGATACTCGGCTCAGTTGCCGGCAGCATCAGCTGGTCAGGTGTCACCGAGCCTTCTCCTGCCCCCGCGGACTCATCCACTTGGGCTGCTCCGCAGCGCTATATTACACTGTCCCCCGGGAAAGGAGAACCGGGAGGGGTGGTGAACGCTCCTCCTCCCCCATCTGCTCTTGAATTCGCAGCATCCTCCGCTGCATCCTCCAGGCCCAGCCTCCTCCTCCTTCTGCCCATTCCCCTACTCCCCTCTCCCGGATGGTACGCTCCCGCCTGGCCCAGCTGCAGTGGATGTTGCTAGAACCCACGCGGAGAAAGGAGAGACGCAGGCTGCGGTGACCCAAGCGGCCGCCCCTGCCTCAGGGACCCCATCCCGGAGAAAGACGGCACCATGACCCAGGGAAAGGTACGGGCATCTCCCCCGCCTGCACCATCCTCCATCCTCCATCCTCGGGTTCCCTGCCTCCTTATCATCCTAAGCAAGTTCTCTGGACCACTCTAAGCATCCTCCCCTGGCTGTTGTGCAAAGGATCCTCTGTGGTCCTTGTTGAAGTCAGGGGACCAAAAGGACCATTTGAAGGAATGGATCAGGACTTCTTCCTACCCACTAGGCTCTCCTCTCTTTCAGGTCTTCCTCTGTCTCCCTTCTGCCCCATGCTTTGCCATTATAGGACTCTTCACAGGTACCCACCCCCCAAAGAGTGGGCCTGGGTAACCAGTGTGTGAGTGTGTGTATGTATGCCTGGTGAGCCACAAGGGGCACTGCCTATGGGGTCATCCCCTCTGGTCCAACCCTTTAATCCCAAACCCAATCACTGCATCCTCATCTTTCATATCCTCCACAAAAACACTCCCCACCCAAGTCCTGGTTTTATTCTACATCTGGACACATCTCCTGTGATTGGGGAGTTACTGTGGCAATCCTGCATCAAGATGCTCTAATATTTTGTTTTGTTTTTAACTGGGCCATGAGATTGGATGAGCCCAGCAAGTCTCCCCCACCCCCAGTTTTAAGCTAGAATTTTATGGGAGGTTGGGGCAGACTTGCTGGCCTAATAGAGTTACGTAACATCAACAGCCTGTGGAATTATACAACCACCAGGGCCTGGGGCAAAGAAGGAGGGTTATCTGGACCTCTGTTTGGGGGTGCCAAGGATTAGGCAGAGAAACTAGCACAGGTACCTCCCCTTCATTTGCCTTCATTTTTTCTTTAAATGTTTTGTTGTGAATTGTGTGATAGTTTACATGGGAGAACATTAATTAGCTTTACATTTATCCTATTGCATATATCGTTTCATTGCCATGGTTACAATCCCTTCCATGCATCATCAATCAACCAAAGGGTATACCCTGAAAGCCTGTCCCTCAGTCGTCAGCACACAGCCCCTCTCCCTCTCTGGGTCTAAAGTCCCCAGCCACTCCATCTCTCCACGTCATTGTCTCTGCCTCCATCTCTGGCATCACTACTTCTCTGGGTAGGGTCCTGCTCTCCGCTTTCACTTGCCTTCTTGTCACCAAGATGAATTTTCAGAGCCAATGGCATCTTTACTGGGTCCTCAGACCCTCCTCTCCCTGTTTTTAAGCTCTTCAGACCTCCAAATGATGTCATTGGGTGATGCCACCTCCTGCCATTGGTCAGGCCTCACTTGGAAATGCCAGATGTGGGGAAGAGGTAAAGTCCTGGAGGCTCAAAGTGCTGGAGGGACAGGGTGGGGCTGGTGAGGAGCCTGCACTTTGGTACAAGGCAGAAGTTAGAGGTGATCATCATTTTCCCAGGTGTGAATGCTAGGGTTGGGCTCAGAGTGCCTTCTGGTGGGCTGGGTCCTGTGGGTGGGATGAATTGTCCTGGGCATAACCTTTCTGATCTAGGTGATACCAGGGTTTGGGAGGGGAAGGATGCTGATGAGCCAAGGCTTCACTCCTCCCAGGTTTGGTCTCTGGGTCACTTCCTGAAGAAGGCTGGGAGAGTGTTCACTATGATGAAAATGAAGACACCCCCCTTTCTGATCCTCTTCCTCTAGCCCCACCCTGTACCCACCAGTTGCTTTGCTGATGAGGCCTCTTGTCTTTGGATGAATGCATTCATTCTGCCTCTTGACCCAGCCTGCCTGGCCCAACTCACAGGCTTTCTGGGGGATGGAAAAAAATTCTTCCAGCTCAGTGGGCCCAGAGATGAAGTGGAACCAGAGGCCCTCTGATCATTGCCTGTCTCTGGGCAGACTCAAAATTGTCCTCTCTGCAGCCTCCTCACTGGCCCCTCAAATTTAACATTTTCATTTTGGAATAGGACCTAAGTCCTATGTTCTAAGGTTTTGCACTTTTGTTACTGTTTCTGCTTTCATGGCATTGCCACCGATTTCACCCCAATCTTTCCTTCTCTGATTGAACCATTCATGCTCTCAGAACTCATAGCCTTTCACCAAAGCAAAAGGTGAACCTGTGGGGGCAGGGGATACATCTGAGGTCCAAACTGCCATTGGCACAATTCCCTCTGGGCTTGTTTCTTCCTCTGTAAAATGAAGGAAGGTGCTGAACTAGGTGCCTTCTGAGGTCCCTTCTAGCAGTAGCATTTTGGGATTTGGCTTTGGTCTGAGGGAGAGGCTGGGGTTTGGGTAGGATGAGGCCAGACCACGCCTTTAACCAGGATCCTTTGCCCTTCCTCCACTGTACAGTCTTCCTCTTTGTCTCCTCCCCGATTTCTACCTTCCTGCTGTCCCCCTATCCATCCTCCCAGGGCAATTTCAAGCCCTACCAGAGGAGGCCAGTCCCAGTGGAAGGAGCCCAGGCTCCAGCAGGCTGTGTATGACTCTATGACCTTGGACAGGTCATTTCTCTCTGATTCTCAGTTCTCTCATTTAAAAACAAGAGTCAATGTGTGGCTAATTGTCTCCATGAACAACTGTCTTTATCATGAGACCAGAACTAGATGATGTATGACTACCATTACTGAACATTGTAATCAAAGATTCTATAGAAGAGTCTTGATCAAAAGGGGGAAAATCTTGAACTGAATTTCAAATTCACATGGAATCCATACTTTCTGGAGTCTGGATGAACTCCCAAAACATTTCCCTGAGATCACTTTTAATCCTTAAATTTAAAATGTCCCCTGAAGTCTTCATAAAAGCAAAAAACTAGTTCCACTTAACTAGTAAAGGGGTCTTACCTGAGCATTTTTCTCTCTTAAGAATTATTTATGCAGAGGGATCATGCCTCTGTACACAGGGTTGATAGGGATGGGCAACTTAGACATTGGCTACTAAAATGAGGGGAGACGGGGTTGCTGTAAAGGCACAAAATGACTGGCTTACAAGTTTTTAAAAGGGAGTTTAGTTTCAGAGGGTGTGGGGGAAGGTAGAATCTCTACTGAGTGGTTTTCAACCTATCTAAATGGGACTGGTGAAAAGAGATGGGGATACGACTCCTGTGGTTAAATAGTAATTGTTATCAGGACTGATTGGGATTGTTGCAACTGTAAAGGTAGACGTTTTATAGCAAAAAGAGAGGAGTGGTTAATCTTGCAGTCCAGGAGCAGAGGACCCTGGGAGCATTAAGGGAGAAAAGCAGGAGCAGAGTGTGAGACCCTATTCAGAGAAGCAGCGACGCCAGAGATAGAGGCAGAGATGATGACGTGGAAAGATAGAGTGGCTGGGGACTCTAGACTCATGGAGGGAGAAGAGCTGTGTGCTCACATCCAGGGGACAGGCTTGCAGGGTATGCCCTTTGGGTGTTTGAATGATTGCGTATTCCTGAGTATTTTGGTATACATTTAAAAAAGAGAAAAAAAAACCCAGAGGGAATAGAATGTTGAATGATGACGCATAGAGGGAATTGTAATCATTGCAATGAAAACAAAATACGATAGGATGAATGTAAAGCTGATGTTCTCCCATGTAAACTATCACTCAATTCACAGTAAAAACTTAAAAAAAAAAAAAAA